CCTGCGGTAGGCATTTTTTTAGTAAATGGAAGTGGGGACTGAGAGAAGGTGTAAACTAAAGGGAACATGAAAGGGAATATAAATGCAAAACATACCTGATGTGCTGAATTATTAAACCTGCGGTAGGCATTTTTATGGAACCATGGGCATGTTTATACAATGTATTTTAACTTCCATCAATTTATATCCATTTGTGACTAAGTTCTCCCCAAGAAGTATGCTTTGATGGGTGTGCTATGAACTCATTTGAAGCTCAAGAATAGAAATCTGAAGCTAATGCTTGAATTTTTAGATGACCGAGACCTTTTGCTCTTGGCAAGAAGGCGATTCAGATGGAAAATCACTTCGAAAAATCAAAAAGCTTTCACAGCCATGGCCTGCTCATTACACTGAAATTATATTTTAATGGAAGATTCCGTGAACAACTTGGTAAAACATTTTGTTTTCTTGCCAAGAGTCCAAGATTCCATCTTTAGTGTTTCATCTTAAAAAGTTTATGCAACATTTGATGTTCCATAGGCCGACCGGTGAGTTTGTGGCAAAGGTTATACAGGTCATGAGCATCAAAAGTTAAGAAGCTTATTTCCAAAGTGAAACGTGTTCAGAGGGTCTGGGCATCAAACCATTAGAGGAATAGTTAAAGGAATTAGCCGTGTTTTCCATCGGGCCTGCTTAAGGGGTTCAGTTAAAACCCTTTTCAAATACTTGGATTGTCATGTAGGTAATATTGCAAAATTGTTTTCTATTGCTTCGACATACAACAAGAGCGTGCCATCAATGGTTTCAAATTTAGATTATTTAGTTTAAACATTAGCAGGAACTTCTCGATGGTGCTGGTTGTTCAGCGGTGGGACAGAGTGCTTCAGAAGGACAGGACTCTCCATTCTTAGACAGTTTTAAGCAAATTCAGGATGGCCACCTATCAGGAAAGTTTTAGCGACAGATTTCTCGGCATCGACCGGGGTTGGTCTTGATGATCCCCCGAGGTCCCTTCCAATGTCATGATTCTGTAATAACAGGGCTTGCTGAGTCAGATGGCGGACTGTGGTATCGGTGGGGGATCGGGTCCAAGCACTCCTCCAGATACCGAAAAATGGCAAAGTGTGAAATGTTCACAGGGGTATCTGTGTTAGTCTGGGCAAGCATTACAGGTAAAAGTGAAATAGAAATAGAAATAGAAATAGAAACAACAACAACAACAACAACAACAACAACAACAACAACAACAACAACAACAACAAAAATGTGGTGGCACTGGAAAGACTAGCCTTTATATTTTTTAATGCGAGCTTTTGTGGACAAATTCACGTCGTCAGATGTACATTGCACGGTCTCTGGCTTCCGCCGGAAATACACCCTTGAAACACATATATAAACACACATTTTTATAGGTTTTTTATTTAGTATTTTCCGGCAGCAAATAAGTGAAAGAGCGGATACTGATCCTGCGGCTGGTGTGAGGGTGTTCCCCCCCCATTGTACTCGACTATATCACCTCTCATTTCAGAAAAGTAACAACATCCCAGTCTTGAATATATGGGAACACTGTTTTAAGGAACTGTTCTGTATAGGATGGAAAAGATAACCTTGCCTGAAATTGCCCAGAGCATAACCTGAATGTGACATTAAGTGGGTCAAGTACACAAAGCTATGGCCTATATTGCAGTCTTGTGGCACTATTCATACTTGTTACGTGTATGATACACATCTGCAACATGTCCTTTTATGTACAAAATTAGAATCTGTATAAACTGACTGAATAGGCTTAGCACAGCAACCGGTGTAAATGCTAAAAGAAGCAAAAAACCTTGGACTAGTTTCCCCCCCCCCAAGCGATTAGGTGGCTTTTCATTATACCATTCTCTTTTTATAGATTTTGTGGCTCGGTTTGAAAATGTAAGACAAGAAGAATGCTAATAAAAAAGTGAATTATATCAATGCATTTCACTCTTAATAATTCATTTTATGGGTGCTCCTGGAATAACCTGTTCCAGGGTAGTAGCTAATCCTGCTCTGAAACATAGGGTGCTTCTGCTTTTTTTAAAACACACACACACACACTGTCAAGAAGGAAAGGCAGGGCAGCCGGCACAGTGCCTTTTGACTGGCAGAGATACGATTGGTCCATCTGTCTGATGGAAAGCACCCTACGGATACACAAGGGCAGGGTTCACCCATTCACTATGGAGGTCATATTTCCACCTGTACTATGCAAATCGAATATAGTGGGAGAGAAGGCTGATCAAGTCCAAATTATAAGACTAACAGCCAATTGGCTGATAAATTCTGTTCCTGCAATTTCACATTTGACTCTTCTTCTGAAGTCTTCCCCATGAGGTGTTATTACTGTATTTTGGCTTTCAGATAGGGGAATCTCTTGAGAGATTGTAAAAACGTATTTATTTTTTATTTAGTTAATTAGATATATTATTTTACACGTTGCCTTTCTCTCCATAGGGGACTCAAGGCAGCACCATGGGGGAATCAAACTCCCAACCTCTGGCTCTGAAGCCAGATACCCAACTCACCAAGCTATTGAGCCAGCATAGAAACTATATCACTATATTAAAACAGTAACACCAAATACAATTAAACAATTGTCAATATTAAGACCAAGATTAAACGCAATTTTAAATTTTTTTTTAAATCTTTGCATTTAATAAATATAGCATTCCCGAGACCCCTATTTACTGCTTAAAAGCCTTCCTGAAGAGGAAGGTTTTTGCATAATGATGGAAGGACAAGAGGAAGGGGGCCAACCTGGCTTCTAGGAGCAGTGTATTCCAAAGCCTGGGGGCAACCACCGAGAAGGCCCTCTCGCGTGTCCTTACCAAACCATCTTGTTAAGGTGGTGGAACCCTAATATTCTTCTTCCTGAGTGCTCCCATTTTGGTTGAGATCTGCTGTGCCCATCAATTCTGGCATGTTGATCCTGGCTAGGTAAACTGCCGATAGGCACCGTGACACCATATGACATCATACTGGGTGGAGAAAGTACAGGTGGAATGAACCCCTGAAGGTAGGATGTTAGCTCCTGCAGACAAGAGGAACAAGAAGGATCGCTACGCTGAAGCGGGTGAAACTAGCATTGATACCTTTTTATCTCCTGAGAAATCTCCCTCATTTAAAAATGAGACAGACACACAGAGAAAAAATATATATGCATTTATGAAGTTAAACTGATTGATGTGTGATGAAGAATGCCTTCGAGAGAAAGCAAATACGGATGGCCAAAGAGAAACAATTTGGAGTGCATGATTATTCCTATATGTTTTAAATAAGTTAAACATAACTGGTGATTGAAATGAATCACATAGTCGGTGAATAAAATTAATTTTAATATGTAAATTGCAATTTTGAGCTAGTACAGCTCAATGGGTTGGAGCCCTGAGCGCTTCCGGGGAGAGCTCCGGCCAGCCAACATTACCTGGAACATCTCTGGCGCATGGGGTGGCATGGCTTTGACACCTGTGGGCCTCGGGAGAAAGACACAGTGGTCCCACCGTTACCACCAGGAGGAGGAACTTGATAAATACATCATAGAATAATGAAGTTGGAAGGGGCCTACAAGGCCATCCAGTCCAGCCCCCTGCTCAACGCCAATGACTTTGATGCCTCGAACACTCTGGAAGGGTTGCCCTAAATGGGGAGAGATATGGCAGCATAGGCGTATTATTCTAATTTAACTTCCCCCTACAAAGAACAAGCCAGTAATTTGTCATTTTCTGTTAAGATGGTGTTATAAGACCTCATTTGCAGGGCACAATGCCATAGCACATTGACCAGTATTGACCGCCTCTTAAGACAAAACCACAGATCCCTTGCAGATGGTGTGTGTGTGTGTGTGTGTGTGTGTGTGTGTATAACAGTGGTCCACCACACAAGGCTGTTGTAAGGACTACACAACTTAAGCGTTAAAGCTCTTATTGTAATGTTTCCATGTATTTATACATATAGCTTATTTGATGAGTCTACCGATGGCTTCCACTTGTGCCAACATTTAATCAGAGGTAGGAAAAGTAACGCTTTGGGCTTGCAATTTCCAGTCCTTATAGTCAGACAGGTTATTTATTTTGTTTATGTCCCTGTAATTAGAAAAGCCATTTTCCTCTGCTCTGCATTTTACTATTTCTTGTTGCCTTTCTTGATTTATATTGTGGTTCCTTTTGCATTGTTTTATAGTATTTGGTGGAAAAGCTCCGGGTGAAGTGCGGTTTAAATTCAGAAAAGTTTTAAATCAACAAATACCCATTCTGGGGTCCCTACGTTGTGTGAAGAACCTTTGGGGACTTTGAAAAGCGATCCATTTTTTATTTCACGGGAGCTTTCAGGAACAGGGGCCACTTCTTCAGATCACCTGGAGCGCCATCTTCAAGCCCAGGGCGAAGAAGCCCAACAAGATACAGCAAAAGGACCCCCGTCTTAATGAATTAACCCTGCTCCTAAACTGTCAAAAGCCTGTTTTTTTGTTTGTTTATGATTTATTTCATCTAGAACACCTTTTGCCCTGCCTTCCTCCTTCAAAGGACCCCAGGGGACTCCCATCCTTCAAAGCCCACCTTTAAAGTGAGCATCCACCTCAAAGCCATTCCAGCCAGGTCAATGATACTAGTCAATTACATTTCCACTGTTAATTACACGGCTGCCCCATGACTTGGGGGGGGGGGACTGGGCTTAAATAAATAAATAAAGGTTCCTCTTGTGGTTCACCGAAGGCCAATCCAACCCGGTGTGTGTGTGTGTGTGTGTGTCCCCATATCTCTTGGTTGAAGCCATTTTGGCCCACCTGGCGATTACCTGGATGGCGACCTGAGCGCACCTGAGGGGATTCAGAGGCACCTTTTTTTTTTAAAGGCCAGGGACGCTTCCCCAGGCCCAATTTCGATGCTGGAGGGATGGGTGGTGTGACAGCCCGACCTCTTTCAAAAAAAAGCCAAACATCACAACCGCCATCACGGATTTGTTGTTGTTTAGTCAAGTCGTTTCCAGCTCTTCGTGACCCCACAGACGAGAGCACGCCAGGCCCTCCCGCCTTCCACGGCCTCCCTAACCACGGGTTAGGATGATGTTTTAGGAGAAGGAGAGCGTCCCCTTTCCTCCCTCGGCCTCGGACCCAGGAAGGGAAGGCCTGGTTTTGGGGGCCGGCCAGGCCGAGGCCTTCAGCGGCGGTTGCCTAGCAACGCTCCCCCGGCGCCGCCATCTTGGCGCCCTGGAGCCCGGACGCCGCCGACGCCGCCCTCATCATCATCCTCGTCGCCCTCCGGCTGGCCGGCCTGTCAGGAGGCTGGGGCTCCGGGGGACGGCCCCGCCGTTTGGGCGACCCGAGAGTCGGGCCAGTGGACGGAGGGGGCGACAACCCCCTCTCCAGCGCCGCCGCCATGCTGGTGCCCGTCTTCACCCTCAAGCTCAGCCACAAGATCCTGCCCCGCATGGTGGCCCTGGGCAAGTACGACGGGACCCACCCGTGCCTGACGGCGGCCACCCAGGCCGGCAAGGTGAGGAGGGAGGGCTCGCCCCCCGGGGGTTGCCCGCCGGGGTCCGGGTTCGGGGTCCCCTCTCCCCCCATCCTTCAAACATCTGCAATCTTATCTTGCCTTTCTCTTCCCCCCCCCTCCTTTCAAGGCTTGGAAAGGTTTCCTTCTTTGGGTAGGAGCGGCCGGCTGCAGAAATGATGATAGTTTTTTTTAAAGGAGGGTGATGATGGTCTTAGAGAACTGCGTGGTTGGAAGAGAGCCTCCAGAGATCATGGAGCCCAGCCCCCTTTCTAGGATTCGAACTCCCAACCAGACCTAAGCCGCTCAACCCCCTGTCCAGGAGGCCCCGTGCGGGGATTCGAACTCCCAACCAGACCTAAGCCGCTGAGCTATCCAGCAGTTGCTGCCTTCAGCATCCCCATTATAATCATCTTAGAACTGCATGGCTGGAAGGGACCCTCTGGGTCATCCAGTCCAACCCCTGTCCAGGAGGCACCGTGGGGGAATTCGAACTCCCAACCTCTTGCTCTAAAGCCAGAGGGATAAATCACGGAGCTATGCAGCCATCCTGGGCCTGTTCTTATACTCTCTGTATTCCCAAGGCATGGCTCAGCCACAACATATGCCTCACATCACACTACCCTGGACACGAGAAGGCTTATAATAACAGCTGTGATGGGGGTCCCTCTGCAGATAATATTTTTTAGCAGAATCCTGTTGGCTTTCCATTTGGGCAGTGGGCATTGGGGCTGCAGTGATGGTGCTCGTGTTTGGGTTGGAGGGCCTGACGCCTGCTTGGTGAACGAAAGTGAAAAAGCCGGGGCATCCCCTTATGAAGGCCAAACGTGTCCCGCGGTCCTCTTGGATCTCCCCGTGAGATCACCTTTACTTCTCACGAAGGCTGCACGTGTCATCTTCACGAAGCTGTTTTTACCCACCCAGGTTTTCATCCACAACCCTCATGCCCGTGGCCAGCGTGTCAGTGGAAACCGCTTGGTGTATAGTACCCAGGATGCTGATATTTCTCTCCTGAACATGAACGAGGCAGTCAGCTGTTTGACTGCCGGGGTGCTGAACCCCGACCTTGGCTGTGACACCCTTCTCGTTGGCACGCGGACCAGCCTGCTGGCGTACGATGTGCACAACAACGCTGACTTGTTTTATGCTGGGGTAAGTTCATCTTCCTTGTTCTTCCCATCAATGAACTGGGATTCGAGGATCAGTTGTGATTGGATGTTCTTGGGACTCAGGGACCTGAAGTACATTCCCTTAACACACAGTCTTTGGTCGGACTTCCAGAGTGAAGTTATTGACACTGGAGTAGCTACTCTGCGGCTCAGGGGCAGTGGCTCCGTAGTATTCCTGGAGCAACTGCCAAGCCTCTGTTTAGTAGCTTCTCTCTGTCCCTTGAAGTGAGCGCTTCAGCAGTTCAGGCAATTGACCACTGGCTTCTGAATGTTTCTGTTTGACTCCTTTTCTCTGCTCTGTTTCCAAGGTCAACGGAGTTTCTAGATTTCTCTTTCATCTCTTGGTAGGTTCCCGATGGAGCAAACACAATAGTGCTCGGAATGTTAGGAGATATTTCCTCGCCTCTTGCTATCATTGGTGGAAATTGTTCCTTGCAAGGTTTTAATCATGACGGAAAAGATCTTTTCTGGACGGTAAGGAGGGGCCGGAGCAGGGCTTTTGTGATGTTTAAAGGTGGAGGTCCGACTCTGAGATGTCTAAACCCTCAACCACTTAAGAACTTGGTGGCTGGGGAGGGAGCGGTCATGATGCTGCTTTCCGGTTAGGATTGAAGCAGCCCGCTCAAGGTACATAACTATTGAACTCTGACGGGGTCTCCTCTCTCTGGCGAGAGCTTTCCTACAGAGAAAGAAGGGAAGGGAAGGCAGTCTGTAAGAAGATGATAGCGAAAGGAGACCGCAAAGATACAGTGGAAGCACTGCATTCCAGCCCAGTGCCCTCTGAGTCCTTGTCCAAAACAATGAGAAGTTTCTTCTAAAGCAGTCTTACATGTTCCCTGATGGCTCCTGCAGGAGACTCCTTGGGAAGTAGAGGTGGGAACACCTTGTTCAGGTGGTGGGAGAAAAAGGAAAGGGGCACCAGGGCAACCTTGTGGCAGAAAGAATATGAACAGAACTGAAGGTTTGGAAGGGCATCTAAGGGTCATCTGGTCCACCCCACTGTCAGTGCAGGAAATGCACCTCTAAAGGATCTCTATGTGTCCTGAGAGGGTCCCTCCATGTGGAATGCTTTCGTGTGGTCTTTTAGGGCAGGGCAGGGCAAATACTTCTGTGGGCATATGGAAGCTGTGGACTGACTCTGATATGCAAAAGAGACGTGGCGTCTGAGTCATGTAGATCCGTGGTTCCCAACTTTGGATCCCAAATGTTTTTGGAAGACAGTTCCCAGAAATCGTGGCCAGCGCAACTAGTGGTCAAGGGAGTTTTAGTCCAAGAACATCTGGTGACCCAAGGTTGGGAACCACCGAGTAGATCCAGGGTGAGACTGGTGCCGCTTCAGTTCTTGGGAATCTCTAAGACCAGAAAGGAATATTGATGTTTATCTGCCCCAGTCCTGGAGCTTATGTGGTTGTCCTTCTAGTTCTGGAGCTGGGAGCTTCTGTGCTCGGGAACACTCGTGAGGAACACTCTGTACTTCCAGTTCAGCGGAAGAGAACAAAGATCTGGAGGGTTCTGCCAGTGCCCCCACAATGCCGCTGATAGCATACTTGCCATCAGCAATTAATTACCTGTGAATATTGCAAGACTTCAAGGCGCTTCATGACCCAAGTGGTGAGGTCCAGCCTTCCAAGCCTTCTCGTATGATTCCCGTGCAAGGAGCCACTTTTGCAGTGCTTTCAGATCAGAGACACATCATGTCACCTATGTTGTGAGACACCAGCAAAGAAGGGTTCTTGAAGCTGCCCCACTCCCCCGCCAACAGAAGAGTAGCAGCAGCAGGAATATGGCCAGAATGTCCGTCCTCTTGGGCACTGTCGTCCTGTTCATGTCATGGCATAGTGTTGAGAGACACCACCAAAGAAGGGTTCTTGAAGCTGCCCCACCCCCTGCCAGCAGAAGAGTAGCAGCAGCAGGAAGATGGCCAGAATGTCCGTCCTCTTGTGCACTGTCGTCCTGTTCATGTCATGGCATAACCGCAAAAGGAACTGTGCTGGGGTCCTGCACTTCAGTGCTGCACTCAAAGCATCACGGAGCGTCCGGGCTCCTCTCGACAATTGGGCTGGCTTAAAAACATTAACCTGGCTGTTTTGGATCTTCAGTCCCAGCGGTGGGTTTGGCCCAGGAGCCTGCCATCGTCATGGTGCCGTATGCTGGATGTTCGGTGTAAATGAAAACACACAGTTATGTTTGCATGCATTGCAGCTGGCCCCATGAGGAAGTCTGGAAAGTGGTTGGGTAAAAGTCATTTGTTCCCAGTGTTCATTACACCGTTTGAAAAATAACCTGTCATTGTTAAGAGTGGTAAAAAGGTAACACGGTAATTCTTATTTGTTCTGCTGCTCCTTGCTTTTCCATTATTTTTTGAGTACCTCCCTTCTGCCTTTTTGTGTGTGGAAAAAAACAGCTTCAGGTTGATAAGAGAATGGCGTCAGACTAAATACTTCTAATACCCTTGAAAGGTGACTTTGGATGCAACTGGAAACTGTTACTTCTTATGCTTGTAAAATAACTTCATTCCTACTCTGGTTACATCTGAAATGTCGCTTTGGTACCACCTTGTCTCCCCTTACCCCCTTGGCATCTAGTTGCCTGAAATGTCGCTTTGGTACCGCCTTCTCTCCCCTTACCCCCTTGGCATCTAGTTGCTTCCAAGTTCTGAATTCGAGGCTCACAAAACAGAAACAGTGATTGCTGTTTTAAAATTTATTACAGGTCACAGGCGACAATGTTCGTTCACTGGCCTTGTGTGACTTTAATGGCGATGGAAAAAAAGAGGTAAATTCCCCCCCCCTTTATTTATTTATTTATAAATAAGACCCATTTGGCACCCCGGGCAGCGATCCTAAAGGCTTGAGGACTCCACGTAGTGCATTTGTAGCCGGCAGTGCACTGTAAAGCTGATCTGGGTGGCCCATGGACCCTGGATTGCATTAAAGTTGTCCTGATGCCCAGACTGGGCACTCTAGATGGTTGTGTGGCAAGCTGGAGGTCACTGACCGACCATCTTTTGAACGCCATGTGGTACGGAATATGTGTAAGGGGTGCTATTATCCTCACATCCTGCTTGCCACCCCTTAGGCTTCCGGTTGGCTCTTGTGGCAACACATCACGAGACCTGGCAGGGCTTTGGCCTGGTCCTTTGGGGTCTGTTTTTTGCCAGTCCCTTCACTAATGCTATGATCCTCAGGGCTTTCTGGGGTGGGGGAGAGGTGGTGGGGAGAAGCAAGGGCCTGTTCAGCTAAATCAAGTCAGTCTTGAGCTGTTTAGCACCTCGGTGAGGTGGTTCAAGGATATCTTTAGTAACGGTTTCACAACCCGTCTTCTCATGGATGTTTTTAAGCAACAAAAATGCTGGGCTCATCCAAAGAAATGATTGAATTTATAAAATTTGAGGGGACTTGCCTAAATAACCTTACAGGATATTGCTTCTTTAGGCGCAGAACATCTTTGGGTGTATACGTAGAAGGTTTGATTCTCTTTTCTGTTGGGAAATACAGTACTTCTAATACGATGCTAATACGGTGCTTTGGATGCTGTGCACGGAGCAGCCCTGGGTGGTGTCTTCTTAGAGTGCATGTCTGAAGGGCTTTCCTGGGCCAGGGCAGGAATGCTGGCCGGCCAGCTGAAGCAGCCCTGGATGTGAGGGTGGAATACTCCCCACATCTCTCCCTAGCCAGTGGGTGGGTGTCCTTTTAATCAAAAGCCACCTTTTGCACAAACAAAGTCATATTTACGTTTCTGCTGCCAGCTGAGTAGTTAAAACTGAACTGTAGTCTGAAGCATGGTCTAGTTTGATAAAAGTGGTAAAACCTGAGATTCAAGCTCAACTGAGAGAGTTTCTCCAGAAACTGGTTTTCTTACTTTGTAGAGGTTGGGTACAAATTACTTTGGACTGCTTTTTCATTCATGAATATGTTTAAATAACCGAATTGTAAACTTGCAGCTTCCTGCAGCGACTTCTAAAATATATTTCACGGCTTTTAGGATCGTGAAAATTGCCAAAGCGGTGACTCTTAGGATTTCAGTTCACATGCTGTATTCTTGCTAGAACGATGTGGTTAGTGTCCATACCTGAAATAGACAATTAGAGGCAATACATATAAGATTCTAAACATCCCAGAAGGTTCAGTTAGACTTCTAACTTCAGTTATGGGCTTCTCAGATGAGGAAAACAGGCACTGATCGTAATGGGATGTCATGTATTAAATGCTTGCCACTTTTTCTGGACAGCTGCTTGTCGGATCTGAGGATTTCGACATCAGGGTTTTTAAAGAAGATGAGATTGTCGCAGAAATATCAGAAACCGAGGTAAAGGAAAAGTTGCAAATCTTTTTATTCGGAAAAGGGGTCAGTGCTGTAAATGTCATGAGGTTTATTTATTTATTCATTGAAAATATTTTCACGCCACCTTTCTTCTTAAAAGGACCCAAAGCAGCTTAGCCGAACAGGATGGCTGCCCATTTGCAACTGTGTAACAAACTTTTCAGATGGATGAGGACCATTTCTTGTTAAGTCACTCACTTGAAGGTTAACTATATGGAAACGAAGCATCTTTCCAGACCAGTTCTTTATCCCCTTCTTCCTTCTGATAGCTGGAATCTGTGCTTGATAGATTTATGGAAGCCAAACATGAATCTGAATCCTTTTGGCCAAAGTGGAAGTGAGAAAAATTGGGCTCTGTGATTTGGTAATGGGGGTAGGGACTGGAGGAACACCTGCAGTAAAAGCTTTGGAAAACGCAGGGTTTTAGGAGTACAGTATTCATTTTGGCAGAAGCCGCCTAGAGTGGTTGCAGTGACCAGATAGGCAGGATATAAATGGAATAAATAAAATAAATAAAGAAGGTCCCTCCTCCCAATCCTTCCCCCATTCTGTTAAGACCTACTAATTGTGATCACTTAAAACTGCTAAATTATAAACTACAGGGATGGGGTTGAGTGTACACTGTCGTACTGTCACGAACCTCTCCTGAAACAGGTGAGCAGAAAGGAGATCTGGAACTATCAGCAGATCTCTGGATGATTTGCACTAGAACAGCAAGATTTCAGACTCCGAATTATCAGGGCAGCTGTGAAATGGAGTGAAGAGCTTGGGTTAACCAGGAAAGGATTATTGTGAGGAAGAAGGATTATGAGCTCTTTTTGGTTTTCTTTCTCAAAACAAGGCTCAGAATTAATTCTTTCCAAGCATGTGTATTTTGCACTGGGCTTTAATGGGCGGGTCTCGGTGTTCTTTGGGAAAAACAAAGCCAATTCCCGAAGCACCGTGTCCTCTCACCCTGAAGCCACTTTTATTCCAAAGACAAAGGAGTGAAGTTTTTCCTGTTCATAACCTCTCTGCGGACGGAGAACAAGCCAAAGACTTGATGGCAACCTGAGAAAGGTTGTGATGGGAAGGAGGCCTGCTGTTGGAAAGGGGGATAAAAGGCTTACGTTGCTAAGCCACTTACAAAGCATCTGTTTACGCTCAAGAAGGCAGCATTGCTATGGTGGCTGTGACTGGCGCAGGTCTCAGGAAAAACACAGACACCCACCCACCCCGTCCTGCTTGCCAGAGAATGAACAACTTTGGATGCTAAGAGTTCACTGGGAGCCCCTCTTCTGACAGCCTCACAAAAATAAATAGCCGATCTGAAAGAGCCACCTATTCTGGAGCGGAGGAACGGCGTCCCTTACCATAGGGATTGAGCTGAGGATCGGCGCGGGGCGGGAATTTGTCCCCTCTTCCCAGGCGTTGGGAGTTTGTTTGTTGATGTTGGCTTCCTTATTTATATACAGTATTGCCCAATAACAAGGCATTTGGCTGGGTTGCAAGTCAAGCACTGAAACTCTCAAATACAAAAACGACGTACGCCACCAGAAATTAGGATACAAAACCCAACAGCAGAAAATAGCATTAGTCCCTCATGTGTGAGTAGTCCTGTTACGTTCACCACGGAAGCAACTGGGAAAATAAAAGTCTTCCTTTCCAAAAAGCCCATAATACAAGTAGAATTTTTTTTAAAAAAACCCACACACATGTGAAAGCAGAAAAGCATATCATGCTTTGCATTAAACTGGCTTTCTCAGCTGCCTATTCAACTAGCTGAAAGCCAGCCTTAAAAAGAACATATTTCGTAGGAGCACAGTAGAAAGCAGAGGGCCGAGCCTCCTAGGGAAGGGTGGGTGTGGGTGGGTGTTTCACAAACTGAGAGTGGCCACTAGACGTCCTGTTGTGTCCTCACCAATACTCCTGGTGCTGTATGTTGGATCAGCAGAAGTTTCTGGACCATCTTCATTCCAGCCTATGAGGCTCTATCAGGTGGACCAGAAGTTCCCAGAGCATCGGTGATACTATCTAGGCCGTCTTTGCCCAGGAAGGGTCAAAGTGAGGCCTAAAATCACCACTGCTGCCTCCATCGGCAATGAGCAGTATTCAAAAGTAGACCCCAAGTGCTAACCCTTTAGGGAAATGCAGCCTCTTCAGATTGAGAGGAGACTCACTCAGAGGCGTAGGCAACCTCCCCCCCCACCTCAGACAGGTGTGTTCCTCCTGTCTGGGCCGATGCTCCATCTGTTGGCCCTCCGCCACCCAGTGCTGAGCCCAGGCACTGATTCAGAACACCCACTGCGTCACCTTGACTGGATGAAAAGGAAGAAGAGAGAACGAACGGTACCTGTTTCAAGTCTCTGCCAAACAAGATCGCTCCCAGCCTCGAGCTCCAGCCACAGACTTTACTGCCCGTAAAAGGTGTGTAGCCTTACCTGCCCACTGGGATCAATGCTGGTGGTTTGAAAAGGAGGGGCAGAGTCTGAGCGCCTTTTCTGAAAGCTTTCCCACCTGGGCGCCTGCAGGCCATTCTTAAGGAGTCACATCTGTTTGATATTATTTTGGTATAAATACAGGAGCTGGCCCTAAGCGTGCTAAAGGTTCAGTTGTAGGAGAAACCTGACTTTCCTGGGAGCTCTTTGGCTCTGTTTTACAAATTCTCATGTATGGAGTTTTTTTAAAAAAAACATTTTTTTTAACATCTGTGGACATCCTTCCTGCCTCGGCAGGCTCCTTTGATACTAAATGCTTCAGTAGTCATTTTACCCGAGGGTTTATGTGAACACAGTAAGATGTGATGCGGCTGGTGGGGCGTTTCCACCACTATTTTAATGGGTTCTACTTGTCCAAGGCTGACAGTGTACCGGGAAATGTGTTTGATCTATGCAGGTGTTGGGGTATTTGATGAACGGCTTTCTCCTCTTTCTCCTGGAAGACATGGAGATACTCTTGCACCCCAACCCTATGTGAGGAGGGCAGACCTGCAGGGACCGCTTTGTTCTTGACTATGGAAGCCGCTAATCCCAACAGCAGACAGCGGCAAAAGGCAGAGGCTTAAAATCATGAGCCCAGGAACCAGCTTTGTGTTACCTGGACTGTACAGAACTGACAATCCTTCTACTCACAATCCCATTCTTTATTACTCCAAGCGTACTCCATTGGCCTGCTATAATTTAGGGTGGGGAAGGGAGCCCTTTGGTAGCTGCTCTCTTCTGAAAACGGGGGGTCAGAAATTCTTGGTGATCTACTGCAAATCATCCAGAGATTTTGCCACTACTGTAACTTCTGCCTACCACAGATCAAACCCCCTGCTGAAAAGTTAAGTGTTTATAGATATGTGGCTTTCAGACTAAAAGACATGGCACCGTGTTTGAGGTTCCAGAAGCAACTTAGGACTCAAAGGCTTTCACGGCCGGGATCTGATGCTTGTTGTGGGTTTTATGGGGTCTTTGGCAGAGGTGGGATTCAGCAGGTTCGCACTTTGGCCATGTTCTGAATGTTGTTCGTCCTGACATTTCGCCAGTCTCTGTGGCCGGCATCTTCAGAGGACTGGAGTAGGAACCAGTCACCCTTGCAGCTGTTCCTTGGGGTAGACCAGTGAGAGAGCATGGACCGAGTTCCTACTCCAGTCCCGGGCACAGTTCCTACTCCAGTCCTCTGAAGATGCCGGCCATAGAGACTGGCGAAACATCAGGAAGAACAACCTTCAGAACATGGCCAAAGAGCCCAAAAAACCCCACAACAACCAACTTAGAACTGTTTGCCACGGAAGAAGATCCTTGCCTCAGCCCTTCTCTTCTCTGTCCATTCTGGCCTTGCATCTCAGTTAGCAAGGAGGGTTGATTTGGCTCATGGGCCACCAGTTTCTAACCACCATTCAGTTAGTAGACATTCTCCCCTTTTGGGTGTGAATTAGATGCCCCATTTACTGCACCAGGCCGAAATTCTATTCCAGTCCCTCCCAGTAATTCAGAAATCAGAGGGGGGAAAAACAAAGAGTGCTCCCACACAGAGGGCTTTTCGTTAGTTAGTTAGTTCGTTTAGTTGTGTCCGACTCTTCGTGACCCCATGGACCAGAGCACGCCAGGCCCTCCTATCTTCCACTGGGACAGATTCATGTTGTTTGCTTCATGTTGGTTGCTTTTCGTACAGCCACTCAAAAAGCCTTATGGCCAGTATCCTGCTGGGGATTTCTGAGCAGCTAACACGGCTCAAGCATTTGTGTTGTACTGTATAATATGAATAACACAAGGCAGGTTGTCTGTTGCGTGACTGATTGTGCAACTGACTTGTTTTTTGTTGCCGCTTGTTTGAGTGGGAACTGATCTTGCTTTCTTGTCTTTTCAGACCGTCACTGGGCTGGCCACCATGGGTGGTAGCCACTTTGGCTACTCCCTCTCTAATGGAACAGTTGGCATTTATAACCAGACGACCCGACATTGGAGAATTAAAGTTAGTACGTGACAGGGACCGGAACACAGCAGAGTGGATGATGGATTTCATCCAGTTCCTGTGAACATGCCTCGCTTTGTCCAGTTTGCCACGGTGTTCAAGAATTTTAGATGTATTGCAAAAACATATTTTAATTTTCATATTCCATTTTCCTCCCTGTATAAGGGACTCAAGGCAGTTTACAGCATTTAAAAACCAGCCTATGCAGCATAATTAATAAATCACAAAGATAATTAAACAGACAAGAATCAAAACCTATTAAAACATTATTGAAACTTATTAAGTATTAAAATACAATGACTGCCACCTAGTATCCCACAGAGGATCTAATTTTAAGTGCCAAACGCCTGCTTAAGGAGGAATGTTTTGCCTGCCGGCAGAAGGCTAGCAAGGGGAGTAACGTGATGTACAATGGCGTAAACTTCCAACCTGCACCTATATTAATAGGTCACCTTTGAATGTAGTGGCATTCTCCATGTGTGATCAGAATCCTTTTCTATCTGTGCAAGACGTGTGTGTGTATTAAAAAAACAACAACCCAGTCACCCTTGCAGCAGCTCCTTGGGGTAGATCAGTGTTGCCCATCTGTTAAGGTGGCGGTAGGAATGGAGTTGCTTCTCTCCGAACTCGTGCCAGGGGCGAGGTTTGGGCTGGGGACCTCTTAGTTCAGAGTCCAGCCTGTGAGCCATTGTTCCAAACTGCCTTAAAGCCTGAGAAAAATGACCTGGTATTCACAGATGTTTTCTTCTTCCCAGTCGAAAAACCAGGCAGTGAGCATACATGCATTTGATATCAACTCTGATGGTGTGTGCGAGCTGATCACCGGCTGGTCCAATGGGAAGGTGAGTTTGAACAGGAAGTGGCACTCAAGCCATCTTCCCACCATTTATTTTGAAATTATTGTCGGTTGCTGTGCTGCCAGCAAGACATGACTCATCCTTGTCTGCAGATCATCCCAGGGTATTCCAACATTGCTTAGACTCAACCAATAGCTGCAGGAAGAATAAATGATAACGGAAAAGACAAATCTCCATAGGCATATTTGTTCTAGGCATGTTCATTTAGATGCTTTCTTTTTTTTTCATTCATCAGACTAGTTTGTTAAAGATGATAGAGCAGCGGTTCAGATACTCACGTGGAAGGCAAAGGACCACAGAGGGGGTTTGCATCATCATCATCATCATCATCATCATCATCATGAACTGATTGATGTCGGGGTGCTTGAAAGCCCGCCTCGCTTACAGTTTTCAACAAGTTTCCCTGTTTTAAAAGCCAATGTGTGCCTGTGCATGCATCACGAGAATAAGATTAAAACATTTTTTAAAAAGCAAATTAGAAACGTGAATTTTGGAGGTAAAGCCAAATAGCACAGACTCACTGAAACCAGTGGAACTTCAGTGAGAGTTGTCTGGTCCATGCTCATGGTTCTCATTTATTTCAGTGGGTCTGCTTTAGCTGAGTCGACAGTTGCAGGTTTTGTCGCTATTGTATTGTGGAGTTTAAGTCGCAATTTGTATTTTTTTTAAAGATATCCCCACTTAACTGACTGACCTTTCTTGTGATCAAAGCATGTATTAGGACTCTGTAGTGACATGGCCATTGTTCTTTTGGACTGTGTTTTACATTACAGGTCGATGCCCGCAGTGACCGGACTGGCGATGTCATCTTCAAGGATAATTTTGGTTCCTCAGTGGCAGGAATAATTGAGGGAGATTACCGGATGGATGGCCACACACAGTTAATCTGCTGCTCAGTGGATGGGGAAGGTAAGAGCATCTATTGGTTTCAGGTGAGGAG